AGCGTTTTCTAAGGCTGACCTGCAAAGATGCAGCCGCCTACCAGTTACCGGCCGGGCTGAGAGGGGCTCGCTGGGGCCTCGCTGCCTGTGAGCACGCGGGAGGTACTCGGAGATGCTGGGGGCCGCGGGCTGAATATTAGGTGGGGACAGAGGACAGAGCGTCCTTGCTCCTCCAGCCGGGTGAACACCGAGATCCGCCGTCCAGGCAGCATGCCAGGGTTCGTGCTATTGTCAAGCTTTTTGAACTTCGACTGATTTTAAATACCTTTATTTATTTATTTATTATGACAGCTCTGGGTGTGCGCCAGCTGGTAAAGTACACGTTACTGCTGCCACAGCCCATAGCCACTGTGGGGATTAGAAACAGAGTATTTTCACATTTTTATGAGTTTTTCTTGGCTGAAAAGAAACTTGCAATGTTTCGGCTGGAGTTTTTCATTTTCTGTCAGAAGGACAGGGAATTAATTTCTGATCAGCTTTGCTCTGTTCCTTAAAGACTCTGAAGCCCCATTTCAAGCAGGAGGAAACCAGAAGTGGGGGAGAGCTGCAGCGCCGCGTCTCATCCCATAACTCCCACAGGAGCTTCCTGGGTCACTGCCTCCTCCATGCAGGCACCATTACCTAAGCTGAGGGGCTCGATATATTTCCTTGGCATACTTACATTAGCTGGTTTATAGGAAAAGATATATTTAGGCCATCGACCATAAGGCTGAAGTTCAAAAGGGTACCGAGAGAAGCAGACCATTTGCTAACCTGACCCATCTCCAGACCTGGGCTGTATTCCCGGCTCTGCTTATATGTGCTTACAGCACATTTGGGGTCACAAAGCCTTGTAACACACATTTTAAAGAAGTATGTATTGTCAACGCTGGTGCATGTCTTTCGGGCTTTAAAGGAGAGAGTAATACCTGTGTCTGCTCTGTAAAGAAAGGATTTTGACCTGTATGGCTCTCAAAAGGCACCTTTGACAAACTCTTAAACTTTCCTAAGTTAAAAAGAAAAAGTACCTTAGTCACCTTGCAATAGATGTACAGAATAGTACCGGGTGGCTGCTGCCCGTGGCGCACTGCTCTCCTTGCAAGAGGGTAAGAGGAGCCTGAATGAACGACAACAAAGCAGACGAAAAGTCTCAGTTTCAGCTGGACAAGCCCACATTCATTAACTGAATAGTCTGCCCAGCTCATTTATTATTATTATTAATTCTGAACACCATCCAAGTGGGAGAAGAACCTGTGATGGGGTGTCAGTCATCAGAGGTCTCTGTCTAGCAGAGTCCTGCCCATCACAAGCTGGGCAGGCGACCAGCGCTGCTGTCGGGGTGACAAGCCTTTGGATAGCAGCTCAGCTTCTCCTCAGGGCTTGCTGGATGAATGTGGTTGCAAATAGGAAGGAAAACACATATTAAGTATCTTTTTCCTTTCTTGTCCTTTCCTCCTGACAGTTGGCCTACAGCTTTGTGATTTTAGGATAAAAGTCACTTTCATTGTGTAGTTATGATTTTTTTCAATAAAATCCTGTAAATCTAACCTGAACCCAGGACAGCACTTCTCTGGTACCTCTTTTGCAGCTGGCGGGGGGTTGTAGGGTTGAAGGTCAGCTCTAGGAGCAGCTCTAGGAGGGCTAAGAGACCTATGAGCCCCACTCTGGGGGACTCAGCCTGGTTGAAGGCTTCTCTCTGCCTCTGCGTTGTACCATCTTGGATCAGAGTTCCCAACTTCCAGCTATGGTCTGCAGTCTGCAAGAACAAAATGAAACGTTGCAACAGCTTATGTACAATATGTTATTTTCTGAAGCAACCATTGCCAGTATACCCGTGGATTTATACAGTCACTTTCTTGAATTAGATTAGCATATAGTCTGGACCATAAAAATAATTTGAGTTTGGAAATGATAAAGACTTTCATTTTTAAAGCTGGCTATTATAATTTTTATGTTCTCTGAAAACGATTGCCACTTAGACAAGTCCCATAAGGAGTTTTTCATTTTGTCTTCCTTCTTTTATTGAATACGTTCTTTGATATTGAAGCTGTTGAAAGAGCAGTTTCCATACGAGATACGTAAATGCGCGCTCTGTGTAGGCAGGGTCTTCACATTTCACAGAAAACTATGACAGTCCTATTCTTGGGCTGAGATTTTTTCCACTGATGGGTACTGGAGTATTCTGAAGCTGTATTTAGCAAACAAAGGTAACCTGGAGCCTAAAAATACACATTGCATTTGCAGAGAGCCTGTAAGCCTGTCAAGGTAACCCTTTTGTGATATACAAAACAAGCCAATACTGTAATGGTTGTACATCTTGGATCTATCGCAGTTACAAAACCCATACCAATGAAATGCAGTGCTTTTTGGAAGATGAAATTATAGCGGTCATACCTGTAGTCACTCTGCGACTCACTCATTTTTTTGCTCCTTCTTCTGTCGTATCCACCTGCCATACCTGAGTGTGGGAGGTCCTTGGGTCCAGGACCAGCCTTTTCTTAAATATTTGCTGTACAAGTACACCTTCCAGAACATAGCCATGATTAATGATGGAGCCCCTGAAATATTAACTACCTACATCATTATATAATTGATATCTATTCTATATAATAGTAATAGTAATTGGATACCTTTTTTTTCTTGTTTTCACATTGAGATCGGTACATGCCATCACTGTTTATGCCAGCAAACCTAAATTTCAACCTAACTTGTGGTACGGTAGTATTAGAATAAGACTATAAAGACTGAAATCAATGGCTATTTTGCTATCAACTTGGTTATCTATAGTGTTTTTCACAGTAAAAGCTGTTCCACAGAATTTCAGACTTCATTGCCAAAAAAGGAAAATCCCAATATTTTATAACCCAGGACTTGACTTTACTCATGAGGACATGATAAGTATCCTATTAAAGCTATAGATGTACATCTATATTTAATCTTAGTTTTGCGAATTATTTAAAGAACAACACTTTCTTTTTTTT